TCCTGTAACAATGCATATGTATTCATGTACATACAATTTGTCTATACACAAATATGTGTATATTAAATATCAAAAAAATTCTGTTGAATGTGTAAAAAAAATTGTTAACATTTATAGATGTTTAGTAACACAGATAATAGATTTTCATGTTCATATGAATGCGAACAAAAACATCTGCATGCACATACAAACTGTCAACCACTATAAAGTCTCACGAGACTCAACGCATGAGGCTCTAGATAATTGTAATGTATTTTACATAAATATTGAATTGAATCGAATAACAGATAAAGTACGGATAGATGAATGTAGAGTTAAGTGTAGTTGTGATAACATAATATTTCAATAGAAACAAATTTATGTTTAAGTTTAATACGTTTTAATGGAAATTATTTGTTGACATTCTGACATACATATTCCCAATACAAGTGGTGTCGATGAATATATGAGAAAATTATATTATAAGGAAACTATTAAAAAATTATTTTAATATGATGTGATATGAAAAATTTGATTATTTGGGGACACATGCAAGGCATAAAATTATTTTTACCGAGTAATGCAGGATGTTTATGATATAAAAAAATATGTTTAACGGTTTTCACCTATAATTATGATAAGTTATTTAATAGCTGAAACCTTTTAAGATTTGAGAACGATCTAGCTATTTCTATATATATGTTTGAATGTCTGTCGGTCCATATTTCCGTCTAAATATTTGCGCTGTAGTATTGAAAATATTATCTTATTATTATTGCTATGTGGGGGCTATGTACCAAATTTCATCAAATTATCTTGGAAATATCGACCTGTAGAGTGTGCACAAGGTTTACATGACACACAGACGGACAGACAGACAGACAGACAATCATTTAAATTTTCTATTTAAAATTAGACATTTATTTTAAAAACTTTTATTTAAAATCTTTATTTTGCTTCTACAAAACTTCTATAAAAAGTATTTCATTTCTAAACATAAAAAGTTATCAAAGCCAAATAACAATAAACTAAATACAAAAAGAAAACAAAAAGCAAAATTAACTGCAAATTTTCTATATCTTTTTAACTTCATTGAACAAACAGCCAATGTTGATGACTAATGAATGTGAACAAGTTGAGAAAGAAGTAAAAATCGGAGTGTGTTAAGAAAACTTTTACTTTTGGCGTTGTGTGTATGCATAAAAACAAACTATATACCCAGCAAAAACTTACATAGAAAAGTAATGTGTTAAAAAACTAACAAAGTCGCTTTTCGCTACTTATTTATCGAAGGCAAGTACTTGCCACACATGCTTACAAATAAGTGCTTACATAAGTACTTGCTAATAGTAAGTTAAAAAGGTTGTTTTGTTTTACGAACCAAAAGATCGCTCACACACGAACCGGACCTCATGTTCGTTAGTTCGCTGTCGTACAAAATCTGCAAATAAAATGACAGAATTCAAAATAAATTACTTACTTGTATGATTATATTTAAGTCATTATTAGAATACTTAAAAGTAATGCAGATGGTATGTAGTTAGCCTACAAGATCTTGAGATGAAAAATTTGTAACATAATAATTCTCTCATTCGATTCTATCATTCTCCTATTTGTGTGCCCCTGTAAATGGTTGGCTCCTTCAAAATTGTCAAACTAGATCTGCACAAGATATTAACTTTAGGTTGAATTTGCATTAAAAACAAACAAAAAAAACAAATTCACTAAAGAAAATAAAAGTTTTTCCTTTCTTCTTTATCGTTGTTGTTCACATTTACAACATAAAGAGTAAAATTACGGCTTGAGTAAAAATAAGTTTATGTTCAGTTAAATATTTTGTTATACGATTTTACATATAATTTCATACATTATTGTCTGAAAAGCTCTCGTATTTCCCACACATACACATACTCACTCATTGAAAAAGAAAATGGCAGAAGTAATGAAAACTCTCGTAAAAGAACTAAAAGTAAAACTCTGGAAAAGTACAAATGCATTCGCATAAAATACGAAAAAAAAGAAAAAAACAACGAACAAATGAACAAAATGGAATGAATAAAAAAAGTTGTTGCAAGCAGAAATTTTAAACAATCCCAGCGGTTAGTATTCTTTAGGGAAAAATCTTTAATTTTTCAAAAGTTTGCCAAGTGATATGTAAAAGAAAGTTTTCTTAATGGCGAAAAGTTTGTCATTTGAGTCAATAAGATGAAATAAATTTTCTTTACATTATTAATATTTAATGATATTTAAAGGAAAAGATCAAAAGATCTTAGAGGGGCTGTGTCTCCTACATCTAAAAAACCAGTCACATGACTACATCCAAATGAGTTCTCTTCCATAATTCATAAAATTAAGAAATCACTCTTTTAAACTCTTCCATATTACTTTCTTCTCGTTTATAAATAGAAAACATTTTGTTGTTGAAGTAAAAGTTCTATCTGGTTCTGTGGTTCAACAAGATAAAAATAGACAATAATAAAATTTTCAATAAGTTTCGAATGTTTTATATTAAAATTAGTTTTCTTTTTCTCTAAATAACTAAACATTAAGAATATTCTTTTAGAAATATTTTAAGCGGATTTATGTTGTGGCTAGATTACAGAAAATTGAGTTAAGCTGTTTTTATTTTCAATTAATCTGCAAAACTATTTATTGGTAGAAAACAATTTCTGGGGATTAGTATCAGAAAAGCATTCAATTAGCAATAAAAACTATTGGAAACGAATCGATAAAGATTCTACCTTCAGTAGTTCCCTAGATAAACGATTTTTTTTATTTAATTTATATGGGGGTGGTTCTAAGACCCTCTTGTGAAAGTCAGCCCATTTTTTTCCTAAATATTCAGATGGATGTTAAAAGACTTTGTGTAAAATTTACTAGTACGTCCATTTTTTTATACTAAACTTCCATCAGAAAAATGAGTACTCTAGCTGTTATAGTGTCAAGATATACTAATTTAAGATCTTTTATATGGGAAGTGCCACGCCCACTGTAGGCTGTAGGTTGCTCATTTTGTTCCCATGTATTCATATAGAAGTGAAAGTTGGAAATACATTTCTTGCAGTTTCTAATATAAGAATAAATAAAGAAAAATCGTTTCAGATCTTTGTTTAGCTGTTTATAAAGTTCAAACAAACACACATTTATTTATAGTCTTCACCTTCGTGAGTTGTGTATGAATATTGAAGTGCTTTATTTGAACACCTGCCGGGTTTGTCATATTTCACGGTGGTCTTGTTCACCCACAGCGTGAGCTTTTGTGACGACTCACCCCTTTGTGTATCTTACACGCGAATGACAATTTTTGTACATGTTTCAAGCACTTTGCTCCAGCTATCTAATCTCTGACCATTGCTACCCCGTTGCTTAACTTCTGACATGTAAAAACATCACTTCCGTTTATAACCACACAGATGCGATGGCCTCTGTTAAGTCGGCAACAGCACCTAGAAACGTATTCAGTAGTCCGAAACTCGAAATCATCAAATAAGCCGAGGACTGTTCTGTTTAAACCACAGCCACTCCGTATATCCCGAAGGAACCTCAAACAGACCAGCCAGCACAAAGTCCTGCGGGCAACTGGCCATCAGTAGTACCATATTATATGGTTCTCCGGTTCGATCCCATGTCAAATCATTACAAGGAAAGACCGAGGATACATTTGATCATCATCAGTTTATAGCCCTGGCAGACTTGAGGTGTTGGTAGCACCTTTTTTCCTCGGGATTGCAATCACAGCAAGATGGGATCTTTCATCAAGGTAGCATGCCTCCAGGAGGAGGTTAGAAGGATATAAGTATGTCATTCCATTTGTAATTTGCAATATATACTTTTTTAGATTGTGGAAAATTTATATATACTGGTGAGATAGCGAAGTCGATTAAGTCATGTCCTTCTATATGTCTGCCTGTCAGTCTGTCCATATGTGTGTTGAAATCAATTTTCTGAAGACCCCAGATATCTTCGGGATCCAAATCTTCTATAATTCTGTCAGATATGCTTTCGAGAAGTCCTCTATTTTAAATCAGCAAAATCCGTCCAGACAACCACTGAATTTTTTTCATATAAAGACAATGCTTTGATAAAAAAGCAACAACAACATTGCTTATTGGAAGAAAACGTATGTTTGCATGTGTGTTGGTTTCATTGCTTTGCGTATTTTCTTTATCTTTTTTCGTTTTTGTTGTTTATATTGTTTTGCTATGGCTAGGGTAATGGTAGATTAATAATTTTTAAACAAACTGTGGTGAATGTTATATAAAAATCGGCAAAGGAGAATATAGACTTCGCAATTGTTTCCGCATTTTTTTTTTTTTTTTTTTGTGGAAAAATGGAACTCAATATGTATTAAATAGGAATATTTTAAAATTTTTAATTTCCCTTATTTTCCATGAAATTGTAATTATTACCATTGAATTTAAATTTTATTTCTAAAATAATTAAATATTAGTCACTTTAAAAATTAATTTATCCTATTTTGTCTCATTTTGTTTTCTATCTCTTTCTCTCATTTCATGGTTATGGATTTTCAACACTATTGTATGACGGGGCAAAAAACAATTATAATTGCAATATCATCACCCAACTACAACAATGACTATGTCATCGCCATTCAACAACGTCACGAAATTGTTGTTACATATGAATTTCTAAACATACTCATACATGCAAAAACCTAATACATAATACGTGTGTGTGACATAAACATGTACGCTTGTGTATGTGTGTGTGTGGTTATATGAATTTTCCAAACATAAATTTTGAAATATATTACAATGCTTTTTTATGCAAACTGACACATGGATTATAAATGTTAAACAATCTAACACTACGTAACGCAACAAACGACAATGTCTGACAACTAACATGACTTACTACAAAAATAATGACAACTAAAACAACAAATACTATTACAAATATGAGCGAAAAAAAAAAACAATAAACATTTAAAAACAACTAACATTTTATACTCATAATCTGAATGTGTTTGTATTTATGTGCAAAAATTTTCAACAATACAGGAGTTGAAACATACAGTTGCATAAAAATAGACTATTTTTCTGAAAAAGGATATCAACCAGATCCTCATGATTCAGCATCCGCCATACCATGTAAGTATCATACATTTCATTATTGTTGTTTTTGTTATTATTGCTATTATTTCTAGTCGTTTTAAATAAGTAGTGAATAAGTCTGTTAGTAAACTCGTAAAAACTAGTGCATCTATGTTGAAGCGGAATGTTAAAATCTAGTTAGAGGGTTGCCATGGTGATGTTATTATAGAAATTTAGCATTACTGTTATAAGACTTCTGTTTTTACGATTAGCACTCGTGGAAATTAGAAGTAAGTTCTAAAAAATCAAACAACAAATAGCAGTAAAATATAAGGATTTAACCCTTTGAACTAAATATATTTACATGACAACCTTATTAGAAATAAGTAAAGTGTTCAGATATATTGAAATTATGGTGTTAAGAGAAAAAGAAACAAAAGTAACAAGGTAACAATATTATATTTCAAAAATAGGTCAAATACAAAAACACCGACTTGTTAATAACCCTAAGTTATTAAAAACCCTAAGTTATAAGTTACTTAACATCAAAGAGCAGTACTACTACCAATACCTTAACATAGTTATACCAACTGTAGTGATCTAATTTTAGAAATTCAGTTTTAAGTGTTATTTATGAAAAAGTGTTGCAACAGCACATTGCTTTTAAAACAGATTTATTTGTATGTATGAATAGCAAATATACAATACCTTTAGTCTGCAGAAACTAAATTTCAACAATAATTTTCCATTCACAATTATTAATTTAAATTGCAGACATTAAACAAAGAGCTTACTTAGACTCAATTTAATTTGTTGCTCTTAATTGTTTAATGTGTTAGAAAGAATTTAAAATGTAGTTATTATTTAAAACTTCTTTAAGACTTTTAATAATTCAGTAAGCAATTATTAGAACAATACCTCCAATCATGAAAAATTGAGAGGAAAAACTTAAATCTTTGTAATAATTTTGTTAATATCATTTTAATGAGTTATAAAATCGAATGAAAATACTTAATGTTCATCCTTAAGTACGAAGTAACGTGACCAAATGTTAAGGGAACTGATTGAGATAGAAACAAGTTATCGAAGAAAATATTTAGAAAGACAGGGATTTTCGACTATCTGTCTATTATAAAGACCCCAGATATCTTAGATTTAAGTTATCAAACTTGTAGTTGCGCAAAGGTTTGTTCAACATCCAGTTTGATCAGTTGAAACACTTTGAGTTTTTCCTATTTATTTTACTATTAGAAAAATAAGACATGAACATTAAAATTCTGTCAAAATTGCAATTTTTTTAATATAAAAAATATTATAAATAATTTAATGTAATTTTACTAAAAGCATTTACAACCTCCCTATAAAAATTGTCTTTATTTTTTCACATGATGAAATAAAATTAAAGATTTTTTTATTAAAATTACAATTTTACTACAAATATGAAAACCACATGACGTATAAGTATCAATAATCTTTCTCTTCAATAAATATTAAGTATACGCTGCGTAATATGGCATTATGCATCCTAAAGATATGCAACACTTTTAGCGGTTCGCAAATACTATATTTCCTTAGACGTATAATTAATATTTAGTTTAGAAAATGTCATGCAAAGCTTAACAATAATCCGAGACAACTTCTGAAATTTTCAAAAATACGATTTTATGTGCATGCTTAGGCAAAAATAAATAACAACAACAATATACAACTTCCTATAGTAAATGTGGTTCTTGTACTTAGTTTTCTTTGTTTATAAAAACAAAACGGATCAAGAACAACAAGTTTCGTATAAAGCTGTGTGTTGTTAGAGTTTTGTTAATGCCAAAATCAGAGATGGAAAAAATTTAAAAAAAAAGTTTAAAATTTTTATTTTTATAATTAAAAAAAAAATAAATTTTAAACAAGCAAGAAGTCTATATTCGAATTTGCCAAATCTTATATATCCTTCACCATATTGTGTTTAAAAACAGATTAATTTTATAAAATTCCAATTTTTCCCAACTCTACAACACAAACGCTAAGCGAAACAAAACACATAAAAAAAGAAAATTCACAAAGCAATGAAACCAACACACAGCCAAACATACGTTTTTTCAAATAAGCAATGTTGTTGTTGCTTTTTTATCGAAGCATGCAAACAATTTTCTTTTTTTATGAAATTTTCAGAGGTTGTCCCGAATTTTTGCTAGTATCTCCGTTATTTATGGACAGATTTTGCTTAGTTTTAATAGAAACTTCTTGAAAGTAAAGACAAACAGACAGATAGATGGACATGGTTTAAACGACTCCGCTATCTATAAAGATCAAGAATATATATACCTTATATTGTCGGAAAATTGTAGTGAGGAAACTACAAACGGAATGGCAAACTAAATGGGGTAAAAAGGTAATGCCAGTACCTCTAGTCTGCCGGGACTATAAACTGCTGATGATCCTTTTCATTGGAACGATTTGACATGGGGTAGAACCAGAAAACCACATAATCTGGTACTAGGACTGGCCAGTTGCCCGCAAGACTATGTCCTGGCTGGTCAGTAGGTTGAGGTTACTCTGATCATACTACATTTACTACAGTATGTTCTCTGTGAGTAAGAACAAAGCCCTCGGCTTATTTGGTGGATTCATGTTTCGGACTGCCGAATACTCAACAGAGACTATTCCATCAGCATGGTTGTAAAAGGAAGTGATGTTTTGAATTGTATACAAAAGCTCATCCTGTGGGTGAAAAAGACTAAATTAAAATAAGGTCAACACGGCAGGTATTCTAGTAAAGCTGAAGGCTATAAAAATAGTCCTTCGTACTAAGGTACTTTTTCTTTCTTTAACTAGTTCCTTTTGAGTTTTCTACAGCATGAAAATAAACATGTAAAGTCCGGTGTAAATGAAAACCTAGAAGAGCGGTTATTTTGGATACTTTCTCGTTCTTCATAAAATACTTTTTAAATTTTCTATAATTTTGAACCTAGAAACAAAAAGTTAAAGATTCAGACTCATACGTTAATGATAATCTGTAAGAAAGGAGTTTTGGTACTTTTTCATGTTTTAACCGGTACTTATTCATTTTTATGTAATATTGTACCTAGAAACATATAATCAGGCATATATCCTAATGCAAATAAGATAATCTTTAAGAATGAATTTTTGGTACTTTTCGTATTTCAACTGGTACTTTATGAATCTTTTATAATATAGAACCCAAAAAATGCAAAATTAAGCACATAGCCTACTGATTGAACTAAAATTTATAAAAGGAGAGTTTCATCATTCAAATGGTACTTTTGAATCATACATATACGATCCAGATGGAATGAAAATCTGTTAGAGTAAATATTTTAGAACTTTATCGTTCTCCAATTGGTACTTTTTGTAATATTAAACGAAGAAACATATTATTAAACAAGCAAAGTCCTAATTGAATGAAAATCTATAAATGGGAACATTCTGGTACTTTTTCGTTTTCAAGTTGTGATTACATAAAAAGCCGTTATGACAATTTCCTTCCCTTTTCTTTAAAAAGTTGGTCACAAGACTATATTCAGTCACTTCAATCTACAATTGTTATTCTACTACTATTATTATTGGAAAAATATTTGGTAAAATCTTTAAAAACATTTCTAAACATAACAACTGGATTCATATTTATAATGTATATAATATAATTTATTACATATACTTAGTTTTCTAATAAATCAAATATATAAATTGAAAAATATTGTTTTGTAAGTCTGTTAAAATTTTAGGAAAACACAATAAGTACAATTGAGACTTGTATTGTAGAGCATTAAAACACTTAAAGTGAAACACATGCAAAATAGAACATGATTTCATAATAAAATACAAACATATACTATGAGAGAGATGTGTAGATACATATGTATATGTATTTGTATTAGGGTGATGTTAAGAAAAATTTTAATTAATTTAATTTAAATTTGTTTTGAGTTTGATCAGTTTAATACTTTGAGTTTAGATTTCTGAAATCATTTTATACATTATATTTCAGTCTAAATTATAAACAATATTTTAATAATTTTAGAAATATCATAAAAAAATTTTATTTCATATATAAAACACCTCGACGTATGAGTATCAATAATCGTAGACGTCAATAAATATTAAGTATACGCTGTGGAATATGGATTCATTCATCCTAAAGATATGCAACATTTTTCATGGTTAGCAAATACTTATCACCGCAGACGTATGATTTATATTTAGTTTAGCAACTGTCATATAAAGTATACGTTTAAAAAAAAAAAAAATTAAGAAGTTAAAAATAACAAAAAAATTATTTTTATAAAAAAAAAAAAATTAAACTGTTGAAATAGATTTAAAAAGCTTACTTTAAATTTATATAATTTTATCTTATATTTAAAATTCATCTAATATGCAACGATTTACTTTAATAAAAATTTTCAACTTCGTATTGATGGAGTTCCCCTAATATTTTGCACATCTGTATGTATTATTTAAATTGATACAAATTTAAAATGATAAAATAAATTTTAAAACATTTTAACACAATTTTATCAATTTCGAAATAATTTATACCTAAGGCAAATCAAATTATACAGTACATTGTCTGCAGAATAAAAAACACAAAAACTACAAACTATGAATTTATGCTGAGTAGACCTTAAGGCAAAATAAATACTAAAGTTAAAATGCTGTTGAATTAAATTAAAATAGAAAAAATGCAGTAGACTATAAACTATTATTGATTTTTTTAATTTTCAATATACGGTATATAAGAAGCAAAAGAAAACTTTTTTAATTGCTATTTAAATAACCACTCAATACTATCTTAAAAAAGCTACTAAATACAAATTTTCAAATATTGCAGTAATTTTTCCTAAGAATCGATTTACATGCAGAATTATTACTTATCATACGCCACATATAACTATTTATTTTATATTAATCATACGTGTTAAGTGCCTAATAAAAGTGGTTGCGTATAATAAATAAATCTTTAAAAATTTATATGTTTATGCTTTATAAATATAAGCACACACTTCATCATTTTCCACCTTTCCACGACTAAGAATAAAAAACAA